GCTGGTTTAGGTTGAACTAGAAAGGGGTGAGAGGAGGTCCCAGTGGTACCCAAGGGGTACATGGCTGTCTGGAGCCCTGCCAGAGAACAGGGGCTTGACTACAATGTAAGGGACACAATAGGTCAGAGACCCCATAGCCCAAGAGGGGCAGATTGGGGCCGGGGGAACACTGTCCAAAAGGGGCAGTGACAGGGCCAGAGCTCCCACAGCCCAGAGAGAGGCAGAGATAATAACCTGGGAGAAACAAAGCACGGGTCGAGGACCTGTAGTCAAGGAGGGGCAGAAACAGGGCTAGAGAGCCCACAGGCCATGAGGGGTGGAGATAAGAGTCCAGAAGGGTGAAATAGGGGCTGGATCCCAAGAAGCCAGGTCTAGTGCTGTGGATCTAGGCCAAAGTGAACAGCAGAGCAGTGTGGGGGGGCAGAAGCTGGGAAGGCTGAGGTCCTGACAAGGGAGAGGAGGCTGGAGGTGGCCTAGTGGTTTGTGATGAGTGGAAACACCTGCAAGGCATGGACATGGCTATTAGAGAGATACAGAGGCTGTGATGAGCTCAGAAGGCAACAGGTGCCTGTGAGAAGCATGTGCAGGCCAGAAAGGCCCATATAGTAGGTCTGAGAGGGATCCGTGTGCAGAGGATAGGTTATAGATCCCTCTAAGGCTTAATAAACCTTGGAAAGGGAGGCTGCACACAAGATCGAAGTATGCAAGCAAGAGCAAAGGTGGGGGTGGGGGGCACCTTAGAGTTGGAGTGGAGCAGGAGTTGAGTTGCCACCAGGGGATGTGATGGTCACCCCTGGAACACTGGTCCTGTTGCACTCTGTTATAATTATTATAGCCTGTTTTTAAGTAACGCATCAGCAGCTTTATGGGTAGAGGAAAACTTTCTTATAGTCAAATTTGTATTCAGTTTCCATTAGAAGGTTCATTTTAGGCTTGCATTTTATATTAACTCTGACCTAAAATAAATAGCATGGGTTGGATTCTCAGTAGTAAATCAATATTGCATCATTGATGTCAATGGAATTATGCCAGTTTGTGCCAGATGAGAAATGCATCCTAGTATGTCAACAGTAATGTTAAAATATAAACATACTGTATTGTCATTTAAAAAACAACTACCAAAGCAAACAATAAATGATGAACTCACTTGCCCAGTCATGTAGGTTTACCTTCATCAATATCAAAAACACATCTACATACAAAATTTTACTCAGAATCTATAATGTTGCACACGTTCCCTACCAAGTTACCTAAACAACATCCTGCTAAAGTGCCATTAGGAAAGAACAGCATTTTCACCACTTTGCACAAGTGAAAATACACGGTGTAGAAATGAGGTCTATGGTTCTTGCCTAGATTCCAAGAGAATAAAAACCAAAGAATGAAGAATGGAAGAAATTCAAATTTGATATTAGATTTTCCGTTACCTGAGAAAGGGGTCTGCCATTTTACTTATCTATAAAACACTGTTAGCAAGTATGGCATGTGGCATATTAATAATAGATATTGTTGCTAATATCTTCCCAAAATTTGAATTCCTCAGTATTACTTGTTCAGTGCTCCTAAGGTATGTGACAGTGGTACTGAACTCTGAAGTCTCTTAAAGTGTGGATAAAGAGAGGATAAACCAGTTAAACCAAAGAGGTTTTGTTTTTACTTTGTAAGTTTTGCAAAACTTAGTCATTGGGGTTTTGGTTTTGTAAAACCAAAAAAACAGGATGAAATCCTGGCTTCCTTGAAATCAATGAGAATTAGACCATCAACGTCGGCAGAGCTAAAATTTCACCCTGGAGACCTAACACTGTTGATGGACACCGAAGATCCTATAGAAGTTTTGACCCAAAGCTTAACTCCGGTGTTTTCTAGCCTCAGGGATGAATACCAAACCAGTTCATATGAAGAGGGAGATCAGAACAATTAGTGCGAGCTACATGGTCAATCTTTTCACAAGTATTGTGAATCTGCTGCCATGACTAATAAATAATTAGGGTCTCCTTAAAAGATGTCTTCCTCCTAGCTCTTTTTGTGGCCATCAAAACAACTGTCTGTGGTGGTAGCTCTCATATAGAGGCCTTCAGATATCATCAACCTATGTTTGGCTGAACTAGATATTTGCCATGGTAGCAGACTTAGGTGGTATTAATGGAAGCTCCATTCTGTGGAATTAAGGCACAGGGGAGGTTAGTAAAACCACCAAAGAAGAGGAGTTAAGGATGCTGAGCAATATAGAAGAGCCAGCAAAAGAGATATTAAAAAGACATGAAAGAAACAGGAGAAAATGTGTATAGAAATAGAGAGGCCAAAAAGGCAACCAACAAAACAAACAAAAAAACCCAACCCAAGCAGGAGGGTGAAGAAGGGAAAAGAAGATGGCGGTAACACCTGTATGAGGGCATCATGGGGGTCATAGAGGAGGGTAACCAATGTCAATCCAGTCATAAGGGAAGTTGATACCAGAGAGTCTGCACCTGCCGTCCTCCCTGAGAAATGGCCTATCTTATATTTTTATCCAGGGAACTCCTGTGCATATCATCACTTGGCAGCCTCCATGTATAAAATCATAGGCAACCACAGTCACAGAAATTGTGAAACCTACAGATGTATTCCATACTACTGACTGTATTTATATGGTTCTTCTGTGGGGTATTTTTTTTATAAAGCTTATAGGTAGGAAAACTTCACCGTTATCCTTCCAGACAGGAATAGGAAGGGGGAGGAGGTCTTTGTTAGTCAAAACTAGCCTTGAGCAGTCACATTTCCAAGAACACATGAATATGTAGGGTCTAGCACTGAACAGTGGAAAAATATTTTCCTGGTGTCAGGTGGTATTTAAAGAACTTTTGACTTAAAGATTATTTTTTGTGGAAACATACAGTAAAACATTAAAGATTCAGAGTATTGTACTAGGTTCTATGGAGATTACTGACAACTCCACAGTGTCAACAGAGGATCATCTCACAGGTCCTGTGTAAGCAGTTATAAACAGCCTCTGCAAACCACAGTATGGATGGTTGGACATGAAGTATAAGATCAGAGATCAATGTTCCCTCTAAGGAGTAGTGGTCCGTGAGCATGTCGCTTCAGTCCCGCCTCCCCCTTTCGACGCGGTCTGCCGGTAGGTGTCCCAAAGTAAGTGTCCAGGTGGGAGTGGGCAGGGTTCGGCCACCACCCTTCGCCATGCTAACTGCAGCCCAGAGCAGCACAGTGGAGTGCTGTGGGGCAGCCATGGGCTGGACACAATCAATTGTCTTAACACCTAAAAACTTAAAATATAAGAATCTATCATGATCGTACCTGAGAAAGGTATTTCTGATTTACTAGATGCTGAATATCTTACTATAGTTTTGTCAAGGTGATTTTGAATGAAAATTTGAAGCTATTTAAATGCGCAAAAATATTAAATTTTTTCCATTAAAGAAAATTTCTTATAAATTCTTGATACCCAAGGAAAAAAAGAGTTGTGTTTTGCATTCAAAACTAAATGCTTTATTAAAAAGTATTATCCATAACTAATAAATTAATTGTTTGTTATTGCTGTACTCTGCAAGATTTTAGAACTAATGTATCTCATCATCATGTATCTAGTTATTATTTCTAGATTGAAAGAGGAAAAAACAAATTTTCTATCCCTAAGTAATAATTGATCAGAACAATCTGAATCAAGCAAAGTACTCTCTGCACCTGCAAGAGAGGTTAATATTGCCAAAAGTTGCTTGAGAAGTTCATACAACTCTGGTTCCATATTTTTATCAGCAAAGTTTTACCAGTTCAATGGTTTGGTTCTTTTTAAAGTTTTGGTGAAAGCACTCTATCCAAATTCACTCCCCAAGGTGAGGCAAGGCAGGGCTGGGGGCTGGGGCTGGTGCAGGCCTCGCTGACTCTGGGGAACTGCTCCACTCCCCAGCCCTGATGCCATGTGCCTCCTTGCTCCCTGAGGTGATGTGGGGGAGCGGAGCAGTTCCCTGGAGCCAGCAGAGCCCGCGGAGCAATTCTCCGGAGCCAGCGGAGCCCGTGCCAGCCCCCAGCCCCAGCCCCCATTCCCATCCCTGCCCCTGCCTCACCTCGGGGAGGAGCTGCTGCCTGCCCTGGATGAGGAGTGAGGAGCTTACCTTCGGTAAGTGTCCCATGCCGGCCCCAGTGCCTCCACCGCACTCTACGCCCAGCTCCTCTCCGGGAGGGTGCGTGGCTTTAAAAAGTTTGTGCGCAGCAGGATTTTTACTTGTGCACGGCTGCACACATGCGCAGCTTAGAGGGAACACCGTCAGAGAGGAAGTTAAATGACTAGCTCCCCTGGTCCTGGCCCCTGGAGGTTTGGGGAGCTATGGAGGTCAGCAGGATTTTAAAGTTGCTGCCAGAACTAAAGTGATTTATATGAAAACTGAGTCTAATACTCTGTTGTGCTCTGGCCCCTTTGGGCTGCACATGTGCTGGTAAACAAGTAGATATGCCAAGCTGAGAATTTATTCTCTGGCATTGGGAAATACTTACCCTGGGCTGTTGGTGTACCCCAACTGGTTTGTATACTCTCCCCTGGCCATATCTTTAGCTGTTGTATGGGCCTTTACGGACCATAGCAATTGGGCAAAATTCCTAATGGCTCCAGTTCCCTGATGGTGGGATGCCTAGCAAAGCAGAAAAATTAGTTCTGGTGTCTAACTTTGAAATAAGTGAATGAATACCTTTCCTAACAAGTTGGTTAAGAAATGTTTGCTAGGGATACCCCCATAACTGATAGCATGTGGAAGAGATGGGTTTATCAATCAAAGGTTTCCTCCCACCTGCTAGCAGTTGTCCTGGAGATCTGTGCTTAGGAGCTGAACAAGACATATACAGCAGGAAAATGTATAGCAGTCTTTGCAAAGTGCTGTAAGGACCTTAACTGAGAAGTGCTGATCACTGCATAGTAGTACAGCTTACTATCAGTAGATAGTACAGTGGACCCATCTAGACTGCAGGAACTTCACTGTGTGGGACAATGATTCCAGTGCACATATACTCACCTCATTGTCCTGATGATTAATTTCACTAAGATTTGATTGCTGCAGCAGCACAGTTAGAAGCCTGTGGAAACAAAGATACAGTTAATATGTTACATCTAAGACTAAAACTGAAAAACTAACATTTTTAGCACAGCACAATCTGGAACGCAAAACAATATTAAAAATAGCGATAAACATCAAGCGGAACCTCTGATCAGGAGAATTCACCTTGGAAATCCAAACCTAGATCTGCTTTTGAGCTTTGTGGATAATTTGTTTAAAAGTGACTTAACAGAGGCTTAGCACATGGAATCAGCAGAGCGATAGCTCCAAACATTTAAAAGCAGCTAAAATCTGGAACAGGCAACCGTTGATCCTGTGGATCATGGTGTACACATAAGAAACCCAGTCAGATGCCTGATGAACTGGTTTGTAGCTGACAAGTTCAATTCCAGAGCAACATAGCTTGTTACAAGTTTCACAGATCACAGGCTGCCTACAAGCTCATCAGGGGAGATCAACAGCAAATAGGCAGAGCCCTTTTCTCCCCAGCACCACCTGGGGTGACGAGGAACAATGGTAATAAGCTGATGGAGAATAGGTTTAGGTTAGAGATCAGAAGGCAATATTTTACAGTTAGGGTGGCCAAAATCTGGAACTAGATTCCAGGGAAGTGGTCCTCGCCCCTACCTTGGGCAAATTCAAGAGGAGGTTGGATGATCACCTGTCTGGGGTCTTGTGAACCCAGCATTCATTCCTGCCTGTGGCAGGGGGTCAGGCTAGATGATCTGTTCAGGTTCCTCCTGACCCTAGCTACTATGAAACTATATGTTGTCTTAGTTGGAGTCCAAGTTTACAGCACATTGCTTTCTTCCTTGTTTTTCTTCCATCCTCTGGATCAAAACTGCTTCATGTTGACCTGCACCCAGTGTCAAATGTTCCCTCCAGATTGAATGGGATTCTGCACACTCCCCCCAGCTTTCTATGTTGATGCTGAATTAATTCATATATTTTTTCCTGCTCCTGCCTTTGTTTCAAGGTAATTTGCATCATCACAGATCCTCACAAGAGGTGAGAGGCTCCATACCAGCTATGAACTGACTGCCCAGAGGAGTTTTCCATCTATTGACTCCTCTCTGAAATCCTATGAAATATGAACTTTCATTTCTACCCAGGAGAACTTTTACAATCTTTTCACCAATGCCTGATGGAGGGTGTTTGTGCCCGAAAGCTTGCAATTTAAGAATTTTTTTTGCAAAAATCTTGTTGGTCTAATAAAAGATATAATCTCTACTATGAGTCCTGATTGCCTTTTCCTTTAGACCAATACGGCTACAACCTGGATACCTGACTTCATATACTTTTTGCACACATTGTGGTACTGCCATAGAGGGTGACCCCATTTTCTAGAGCCGTCTCAAATCTCACTATACAAAACATTCTTGGGGATACGGTCTCCTCCCATTCTCCTGACATGGCCAATTCATCGCAATCTCCTCTTCTTGATAGTGGTTTCCAAGTGTGTCAGTCCTACATGCTCCAGTACCTCTGTGTTTGGTCTGTCTTCTCACTTTATTTTCAGGCTCTTATGCAGACATTTCACATGGAAGCTGTTCAGTCTCTTGATGTGCCTAACATATGTAGTTCACGTTTCTGAACCATAAAGCAGGGATGACAGTACACAAGTCTCATAGATTTGGATCTTCGCCTTAGCTGATAGTTTGCTGTTATTCCATGAACATTTCTGGAATAGCTCAAAATTCTTAGCTGCTTTTCTAATTCTGTCACAAATCAGATACAAATTCAAAAGCAGCTAAAATCAGAAATAAATCTGGTGCTAATTGATAAATTGAAGTACAGGCCCTGAGGTATCAGCATGAGGAAGGTTGTGTGTATGTGCTGTTTTTTATAACCTAGGCATTAATTGTGACATTATTTTAGAGTTTTAGAATAAGAGAAATGCAGGTTTTTTTCCTGAAAACTACTGTCCCTGAAATGACCTATTGTGTATTTTTACCTATTGATTAATGGGATAGTGCATATACAGGCATACCCAGATAGGGTTAAATTAGGTCTCACTGGGTGACACTGGGAAGAAAGATGATTACTACACTGTGAAATGGGATGTGCAGAGCAACATATCTGCTTATTTTTGTGGAACAGCAACCTATAAGCACTCCCCTCCTGCAGAGAGAATAGTAAAAATAAAAATATGACACCTGAGATGCTGTTCTTGGAATAACAGTTTATTACTCGATAGCTTTTGTCTCAAGATTTCCACTGTCTTCCTGCAAAGCACTGCTGTTTCTGGAGTTACTATGAATTTGGAGCAGGGGTTTATTTTTTACAGAAAGGCACTAAGCCATATTTGGATAGTAGAAATGACAGTACATCTAAACCATCATATCACAGGCTCAGCCACTGAATTTATGTTATTTTGTCAGCTGGGAGGATCTGTACTAGAGGACCCAACTGTTAGGGTCAGTGCCATAATACACATAAGCAGCATGTTCAGTTATCATGTAATGATGTATATATTTCCCCACTGAAAGATAAGACTGGTTGTATATATTTTACTGCTTCATATCAGACTCATCTGAACTGGTCATAGCATATTTTCTCTATCAAGTTGTGCTACAATGTACTGTTTAATGTACAATTGTATTAATTTGTTTTAGGATTAATATAAAACAGGATTTCATAATTAAAGCATTAAGTACATTTGCAAAAATAAATACAATTGAACCTTAAATACTTCCTACTGCTTTATAAAGATATTTGATAAAAGCAAACCTTCAAGTCTCTTACCACTTGTCTGTGGCAAACTTCAATCTGCTTTAAAAACTGGTAAAATTGAGAGGAATGCAAGATTAACTTAAACAAAAGAGGTTCCAAAATGTAGCAACTCTATAAGGAAATGCTGAGCTACCATTTCTTTGAATGTATTTGTTTCAGACTTATGTTTGACAAATCATTCTGCAGTGGCAAATTGCATTAGAATAACTGTCTAAAATAAACTAAATAGGAAATTATTTGCTTATGGTTCTTTGGTTATTTATAAGCTCTGATGTAAAATCACCAGCTGTCAGAGTAAAGGGTGTAAGTCCTAAGATTCAATCCTATTTTTGTCCTTAGAGACTTTCTGAAAAAGAGTTAGCTTTTGGGGAAAGATCCCATCAACTGAAGCTAGTTTTCTGCCAAAGCTACTGTAGGACTTGACTTCCCTTCAGTGCTGGTATGATCTGATCATTAAATTCAAATGATCACTAAATCACTAAATATACTGCCCCTCTCCTTAGGAACACTACTGATTGCATGGTAGGTTAGTGTTATAACAGACTTAAAGGTCATGCCTGTTTTAGATCTCTGAGCAGGACAGAGTCTTGCCTCTTCTGGGTCTTACAAAGATACAGAGGCAACATTTTAGTGACTGGTTGCTGCAATTAATAAACAGAAAAACTGATAGCCTAGAGATCTGGTAGATTTTATAGACATTAGGGCTGGAAGGGACCTTGCAAGATCATCAGGTCCAGCCACCTGCCCAAGGGGCAGGAGGTCAGCTGGAGTTAGATCACCCCAGTAAGATAGGCATCCAAGCGTATCTTAAAGGTATCTAGAGTTGGTGCTTGCACCACTTCTGAGGGGAGTCTAATCCAGACTCTGGAAATTTGGATGGCAAAGAAGTTTTTCCTTTTGTCCAGTCTAAAATGGTCTTCCAGCAGTTTGTGACCGTTAGACCTCATCTTTCCTTGGGGTGCCCCGGTGAACAGATGGTCTCCCAGTTCCTGATGCACACCCCTTATAGGCTGCCATCAAGTCACCCCTGAGCTTTTGCTTCTCCAGGCATATATTAAAATAAAATTGTATTTGATAAATTAATGTATTGTATGAGTCTGTAACCTGTTACATGGTTCCACTGCTGAACAGAGGATGCAATCTGTGAAAATAGTATATATGTAATATATGACATATACAGATGTTTTAAATTAATGTCCCACACCCCCAATTGCACAACTTCATGCAGTGCTCTGTTTATTTTAACACTATATGTACCATTCATGGAGTAAGAAAAATCTGCTTATTCCAGTTCTCATTATTTGCTTGTACTGTTTCTTTCCTCTCAGTATCCCCATGGAACATCACTGAACTTTAAAAATGTGTCAGCCTGTGCACATGAAAAGTTTATGAGGATTGACTTGGGAATTTCTATTTCTGCATGGTCTATGTGCAGCTGATTATTCCTTTAGCACATGTATGTGTACCAGTGGTCTGCTAGTTCATAAGCTTGAATGAGAAATCATTTTATAACCAACTACCAGGCTTTGGCAACTGTTTAGATATGAAAAAACAAAAATAAATACAATGGAAAATCTTACTAATGGGTATGGTAATCCAGCCCTGCCTGCTGGTACCAGGGCAATCATATCTAGAAGAACTAATTTTGTTTACTTGGGCTAATAGGACAGATGAAAAGGAGCTGAGCTGCTGGCACGCTCCTGCATGGAGCAAGGTCTGACAGTTTCCATGGGGACTGTGTAAAAACCTCAGGGAACCCTGCGTACTGCACTTAAAGTAAATAATTGTTCCCTTTCAAATATCAGCATGTGTAATGTTGTGCAAACACGGCCTTTTTTCTTTGGAAGTTTTGTTTAATGATAATACACTCATACTTGTTCTGCAACCCTCCAAATGCACCATTGAAATGATGCATTAAAAACAATGAAGAAGGCGGAAAATTAATACAGCAGTGAAAAAGGTTGGCTAAGATAGAAGCTGTGACAAATGCACAGTAGTTAAGACTGCTTTGACTCATCTGTGTTAACAACAGTGTCACTTAAACTTCAAGTCAGTCTATGATGACTTCTGTATCCAGAAATGATTTGGCTCAAGACAGAATTTTGCATAAATTTATCAAGTTAAAATACTCAAAAAAATGCTAAGAACTCCTATTTGTGATGGGCAGAATGACAGAAACAGAGTCTTACTTATGATTGACTTTGTAGAAATGCTTCTCTGATTTTGATATATCTCCAGTAATATTTGTCCAAAAATGAGACAATCCACTGCACACCATCTTACGGCATGTGTTAGAACAGCTGTTTGGTGACAACTGCCTTCCCATTCACAAGCCCACAGGCTGCCTGCCCTTCCAGTAATAACAATCATATAAGTAGGGAACTACCCAAGTCGAAGAGGTGGTCGACTGATTTCATGGGCAGATGGCAGGGCTGGCTGCCATTTTGGATGGCTTATTGTGGTAGCCCTGCCACCCCCAAGCCTCTGATTGGCTGTGGGGTCCTGGTGTCCCCTTGTAAGCCTTCTTCACCAGTGAGTGGTATCTGTCGTACAGCCCCACCCCTTGCTGCTGATTGGCTGAAAGGGCTGTCCATCATGTGGTCCCACCCCCTCACTGCTGATTGGTGGAG